TTTCCATTCACTGGCAGTTGCAGTAGAAATTGGCATTCTCTGTAATAGTAAAATAACTATTGAAATTTAGAATTCATGGAGATCTTCCATTTCAAGATGGCAGATTAAACATAACATTTTTCCCCCTTACCATTTTAAAGCCCCATTAAAATGATAAAAAAAAAAGTTAGAAGCAGAGGAAACTTTGTAGCAAAAGACAAAATTGAAACAGTGCATTGCTGGACAAGTGTTTTCCATAGGTTTCCTAAAGTAGAAAATAGAGTGATTTTCTGAGGAAAAGGTACAGAAACATCTGCCTCTAAGGATGGAGGCCACATTGGTGATGATTGGAAACAAGTAGAGATGCTCCTCTCTCTTACCTTTGCCTCTCACCACCTCTCCCATGAGGAGGGCACTCCAGTGCTCAGTTGAGCTGACACTTAATCAGTCACATGGGGCAGAACTCTCCCTGGGCCTGTTGAAAAGTTTAAGCTCACAGAGGTATGCTACTTTCTCTTTCCTTTTCCAGGCAAGAGGATTAAGATTATCCAGACTCTTCCAAGCAGCTTTCATTTTTCCTTTTAATCATCTAATGAAGAAGTATATATTGGATGCCTACTTGGTGCCGAACACACAAGGCATTTGAGATCAAATGGTGAGTAAATAAGACATTGATTTTATGTTTATAAAATCTGCATTCTGGTGAGGGAATCCATCATACATACACACACACACTGTAAAATTACAACTGAAATAATCTCCATGACAGAAAAGTTCATGTTTCTTTGGGAACAAACAATAGGAGTATTTGATGTGTCCTGGCACAATTTCATAAAAAGGTGAAAATCTAACTGGAATCTGAAGGATGAGCAGGAGGACCTAATGAGCAAATCGAGAAGGTAAGTGCATTCCCAGCAGTGACAACAGTATGTGTGAAGAAAGCCCTGTCCCAGGAAGGTGCCAGGAAAGCTCAAGATTATAACAAAAGGCCAATGAGATTAGACACGTGGGTACGGCCAACATATACAGGGCAGCATAAGATGTGTGATGGTTAATTTGTGTGCTACCTTGTCTGAACCACAGGATGCCCAGAGAGTTGGTTCAATATTATTTCCAGATGTGTCTGTGGTAGTGTTTCTGAAAGAAATTAACATCTGAGTTGGTGGGCTGAGTAAAGTAGATTGCCCTCCCCGGTGGGGGTGGACATCATCCAGTTCCTGGAGAAACTGAATAGAACAAAACTGCATGGGTGGATAAGTTCACTCTCTGCCCGGCTGAGCTGGACCATCAATCTTCACTGCCCTCAGTGCTCCTGGTTCTCAGGCTTTCAGTCTTGAACTGGAATCTACACCAACAGCTCTCCAGCTTTCAGGCTTTCCAGCTAAACCACTGACTTTCCTGGGTCTCCAGCTTGCAGATGGCAGATAATGGGACTGAACCTCCATAATCGCATAAGCCAGTGCCTTGTATTAAATCTCTTCTAGGTACTTGCATACCTATGTATTTCCTGTTGTTTCTGGCTCTCTAGAGAACCCTGACTAATACAACATACTAAGATCTAATTGTTTATAGAATTATGGGATTAAATCATTCTCCTTAAAATTTGAAAGTGTTGATGATAGTCTGATTTTAGTTAGACCTGTTATAATTTGATTTTTTTAAAAAATAACTTTTGTTTTGGTAACATTCTGTACAAGAGCCTTGCTGGACAGAGTATTCTTCGTTGTAGGTTTTTCCCTTCCTTCACTTTAAATATGTCATGCCCTTCCTTCTGGCCTGTAGAGTTTCTGCTGAAAAATCAGCTGATAACCTTAAGGGAGCTCCCTTGTATGCTATTTGTTGCATTTCTCTTGCTGATTTTAATGTATTCTACTTGCCCTTAATTGTTGCCAGTTTGATGACTGTGTGCCTTGGTGTGCTCCTCTTTGGGTTGACCCTGTGTGGAGCTCTCTGTGCTTCCTGGGCTTGAGTGGGTCTCCTTTCCCAAGCTGGGGAAGTTTTCGGTTATTATCTCTTCAAAATTTTTTCAGGTCCTTTCTCTCCTCTCTTTCTGTGACCCCTGTAATATGGATATTAGTGTTCTTCATGTTGTCCCAGAGTTCTCTTAAAATATTCCAATTTCTTTTCATTCTTTTTTCTCTTCTGCAGTAGTGATTTCCACTAATCTGTCTTCTAGCTCTTCGATCCGTACTTCTGCCTCATTTAGTCTATTCTTGGTTCCTTCTAGTGTGTTGTTCATTTCAGTGCTTTTATTCTTCAGCTCTGGTTGTTCTTTATACTTTCTAACTCCTTGCTACAAACTTCACTCTGCATCTCTTCTCCTCCTGAGCTCTCTGATCATCTTCACAATCATTACTCTTCCTTGGGTAGATTGTTTATTTCATCATCACTTACTTCTTCTTCCGCAATTTTATCTTGTGACTTTGCCTAGAACATGTTCTTCTACCGCCTCATTTGGTCTAAGTTTTTATTTGTATTTTTGTGTAGGCTGGTTATTTTCTCGACCTTGGAGAAGGGCCCTCTGTAGGAGGCACCCTAAGCGTTCCGGCAGTGCCCTCCCCTCCCATCACCCGGGAGCCTGTGGCCAGCTGGTCCCAGGGTAGATTCTGACCTGTGTTTATGGACATGGTTTGCAGGTTGTGAGATCAAAGTTTTCTAGCTTCTAATGTCTGCCCCTTGGTGAGTGAGATGGGTCTGGAGGCTGATGTAGGCTTCCCGGTCGGGGAGGCTGGAACCTGCCCACTGCTGGGTGGAGCTGGGTCTTGGCCTTCTTTCTGGTGGGCCGGGCTGTGTGTAGCGGCAGCTGTGGGGTCAGCCTTAGGCAGTGTCTGCTGATGGGTGGGGATATGTCCCCACCTAGTGAGTTGTCTGGCCTGAGGCATCCCAGTTCTGGAGCCTAAAGGCTGTTGCATGGGGCCAAGTCTTGGTGCTAATGTCCAAGAAAGATGTCAGCCTCCAGGAAGGAGAGTTCATTCAGATGAACATCCCTGACTGTCTGCCCCTGTCTGTCACTATGTCTGTGCCCCCAGGGTGAGCCACAGCCACCACATACTTCCCCAGGAGACCCCCAAGCACATCAGGTAGGTCCGGCCCAGGCTTCTGTGAAATTACTGCTTTTGTTCTTGGTCCCAGTGAACGTGGGATTTTCTGTGCGACCGTTAAGCATATAGTCTTTGATTCCTCCAGTAATCGAGGCCCACTGGCCTTCAGAGCCAACATTCTGGGGACTCCTTTTCCGGGTGCCAGACCCCCAGACTGAGGAGTCTGATGATGTACTCGAAACTCTCACTCCCATGGGAAAACCTCTGCCATATAATTATTCCCCAGTGTATGGGTCGCCCACCTGGAGGGTGTGGGACCTGATTATACTGCGAGTTGGCCCCTCCTGCCAGTCATCTTGTGGTTTCTTCGTTTTTAGCCACAGAAGATACTTTCTGGTAGTTTCCAGTCTTTTTTATTGCTAGTTATTCTGCAGTTAGTCATGGTTTTGGTTTGTCTGTGAGAGGAGGTGAGCTCCAGCTCCTACTCTGCCATCTTGGTCACCCTCTGCTTTGTTTTTACTTTCTAGAACATTTAAAACTTGGTGCTTTAAATTTTTACAGCATGTTTATGGTGACAAATCAGTAGGACCTTACAAAGATTGTGCTCTCACTTTACCAAATTACCCTCCATTATTTTTTGTTAGTCCTCTCCCTCCATTTTCCTATTTTTTTATTACAAACTCTCAATATTTTTAATCAGCTTTATTGAATTAAATTTTAACATAAATTTATCAGTTTTAAGTATACATTTTGAGGTTTGACCAATCTATTCAGTTACATAACCACACCCACAATCAAGGAATAAAACATGTCCATCACCTCAAAAGTTGTCCTTTGCCCATTTTGCAATAAGTGCCTTACGCTGCACCCTAGCATACCCTGATCCGGTTCTGCCACTATAAATTTGCCTTTTCTAGGAGTTGATGTAAATGCAGTATTACATGACGTAATTGCCAAGCGGTTCCTAAGCAGCAGCACAGTGGTAGAAGTTGCTAGATTGGCTTGCCATAGACCCGTAAATTTGGCTGGTAAGTGGACAGTACTCCGGTTGGATTTTGAGAGTTTATTACACACAGCACAACAGGCAGGATAAGCTTCATGTTCCCACCCATTTACCTTGCCCCCTCAAGTTCCATGGTGGGTGGTGCAAGGTGGGCCCAGGAGATTGCTGCACATTAGTGGATCTGTTAACAGCTAAGGACCCCTGAGTTAGGATACCTCTGGTCTTTTTAATAAGTTGTCATCAGTCTACCCACCCTTTGCTCCAACAGGGAGACAATGCCATTATTATACTGGTTAGGAAACAGATCTGTCGTTTCACCTTGAGAAAGACACTATCTCTTGCTCCCAAGGAGCTTGAATAACAAACATTCTTCAAAAGAGGGTCCTGAACAAAAGCTATCACAAAATGTGTAGAAATGCCATGGAGAATTTTCTCCCAACACTAGACTTCTGAATATGACTTATTTCACTTAGCATAATGCTCTTAAGAGCTCTCCAGGTTATTGTGTATATCACAATAGTTGCTTCTTTTTATTCCTGGGAAGTAACCCATTGTGTGGCTATACCACAATGTGTTGTATCATTTCAACAGTTCATGGATATTTGAGTCATCTCTGGTTTATAAAGAAATCTGTTAGAAGTCACATGGTGTATATATTTAATTTATAAGAGATTATGAAATTGTTTCCCAGAGTGGCTGTACCATTCTGTTGCCACCAGTAATGTATGAGCTTCAGAAGCTTCATATTGTTATGAAAATTTGGTATTATCATTCTTTGTGCAGAGGTAACTCATTACAGCTTTTTTGGACTTATTTTTGCCATTCATAACTCTTCTTTGGTGAGATATCTGCTCAAAATTTTGCCCATTCTGTTTCAGATTCCTTTCCATTATAGGTTATTACAAGATATTGAATATAGTTCCCTGTGCTATAGAGTAGGTTCTTACTGTTTATCTGTTTTATGGGTAGTAGGTAGTATCTGTAAATCCTGAACTCTCAATTTATCCCTACCCTCACTTTCCCATTTGATAACCACAAGATTGTTTTCTACGTCTGTGAGTCTGTTTCTGTTTTGTAAATAAGTTCTCCTGTGTCTTTTTTAAGATACCACATATAAGTGATAACGTATGATATTTGTTTTTCTCTGTCTGACTTACTTCACTTAGTATGATACTCTCTAGCTCCATCCATGTTGCCACAAATGGCATTATTTCATTCTTTCTATGTCTGAGTAATAGTCCATTGTGTATATATGCCACTACTTCTTTATCCAGTCCTCTGTTGATGGACATTTAGGTTGCTTTCATATCTTGGCTATTGTAAATAGTGCTGCTATGAACATTGGGGTGCATGTATCTTTTTGAATTAGAGTTTTGTTTTTTCTGGATATATGCCCAGGAGTGGAATTGCTGGATCATATGGTAACTCTAGTTTTTTTAAGGAACCTACATACTGTTTTCCATAGTGGCTGCACCAACTTACATTCTCACCAACAGTGTGGGAGTATTTTCTTTTCTCCACACCCTCTCCAGCATTTGTTATTTGTAGACTTTTTGATGGCCATTCTGACCAGTGTGAGGTGATATCTCATTGTAGTTTTGATTTGCATTT